ATTAGAAGGATAACTGGTAATGTTGATCTTACGTACAGGCTTTTTTCCAGATTACCGGATAGCCCACCAATCACCGATATTTCCGGTGCTGGTTCATCTGGTTCGCCTAGCTCAACATCCGATTCACCATATTCGCCGGATACTTATCAGAATTATCACTGTGAGTTTATTTTTTTAAAGCTAATTTAAAGAATTTCATGATTTTAGAAAACGCTGAAAAAAAACTTTTAAATTTTTTAAATTTTTTAGTAACGAAAATTTGCGAGGTTTACTTAATAACAAAAATTTGCTTGAATTCAGCGGATTTGCTTGGATTCAATATCTATTCAGTGAATTTGAAAGCAGTGAAAAATTAAAAATTTAAAAAAAGTTGAAAGTACTAGTTTTCCTAGTATCCAATATCAGGTGCTAACTTTTGTCGCAACATTAGAATAGAACATGTGGCTTGGCTGCTCCCGACGTGTAGTTGTGTCTTAACTAATAAGAGTTTCCATTTCTTGAGTAATTTTGGTGACACTTATAGTGATGAAAGTCTCTGGCCGAGCAGAAGATTTCATTTGAGTCATATGCTAAATCCCAAGAGAAATTTCATGTTTCATACCGAAGTGTTATCACAATTTCCAGAGTTGCCTCTTACAACCCATAGACGGATCCAGGGGAAAGGAGGTGGGGGAGGGAGGGAGGGAGGGGAGAAAAACCTCATCGGCACAGGCGCCAGTGCTAAAAAACTCCGGGTCTAAAGCTAAAACTAAAGAAAACTCTGTTCCACATTCCTGTTGTCCCATCAGGAGCCCCATTCCCCCCTCCTCCCCGTTGCTTCAAAAATTTGTCCTGAATCCATCTATGGTACAGTCGGAGTGGGTGTTCTGTCTAATGATATTATTGATATGCTCCCACACATGCGAAGTCTCTTCAACCCTGAGCAATCTACTGTACATAGCCTTAAAATCTTATACAACGAATAATATGACGATTTTCAATGTTGCATCTCTAAACAGTCAGAAAATTTGAAAAATTTTTTGTTTCGGCAAAAAATTCGATGATTTGCAAAAACGCATTTTTATTCGTTCATAATTATATGCAGTTTTATGCTTTGTGTTTCCTCAGTAAATCAACGCAGACGGCCATCCTCTCTTATACATTGCACTTGATGCATCTGCATATTTCCATGTAACTGTTTTGGAGTATCTTTTCCACCGCATTTTCAATTTTTACTGTATCCGTTTAGCACTCTGGGGACAACATTCAGTAGTCTATCTTGTCCAATCCTGATCCACACATTTTCATGCTCTTTAATTTTCTTTACGCCTTTTTTTGCATAAAAAATGCACAGTTGATGGGAACCAGTAAATATATTTTAGGATAATATACTAAAAGAGCAATAATTTGGCGAAAGATGAGGAACGACAACTCAGCAAGAATTAGGGACCGGGAAGGGATGGAAAAAGAGGGCAAAGGAAGAGTATGGGACGGAGGAGGAGATGGGGTAAGGGGAAGTAGACAAGTTTTGAGCTGGTTGAAATTTTTTCTCAACCAACGACATGCGTGACCTATTGAGAGAGGCGAATCAACAATCGCGTAATGACGACGACAGCGATTTTTTGATGTAAATGTATGGTGGCATTTCGAAAATCGTGACTCTCTTGGGGGCTCTGCTGCGTCTCGTGCAAATGACCTTCTTCAGTTCAGTTCACCCAAAATGACCTTTTTTACAAAAATACGATATAATTTCGTTGGAAAGACAGATTTTTTCTGGGAAAAAAAAAACCTCACTACAGCCGAACTGAAAATGCATAAATCACTCTCGTTTTTGCACTCCCAACGTTTTTACATCATTGATGAAATGCGTAAACGAATTTCGTGAAGAGGTATTTTGTGCGTGTGGGTCTGTGTTTATGTGTGTGTGTCTGTTTTATATATATGTGTGTGTGTGTGTGTATTAATCGGTCCGCTTAGTTCGATCTTAAGTTCCACAAAAGCTACGAAGCTTTTGGGAATTTTGGCTGTTTAGTTGACCACAGTGAATGGATGACAAATGCAAGATGATTGACCACATTCTCATACTTTTCACGTAAGGTAACACTAAAAATGGTTTTTTAGAGGAGGGATTTCTGAAAAACACTATGGCTGTAAGCATATCTTCAACTTAGGAACAGATAAGCTAGGAGGCTGAAATTTTCTTATGATGCCAGGTGCAAATCTGCGTAACATGCCTATGTTTAAACCAATTACCTGGCGCGAAAAGCTGTTTGTTTTTTCTACCAAATTCAAAATTTGAAAACTCCCATTTTAAC